CAGCCATGGCACGGTGTACAAAAGTGGATCCATGCCGGTCGTGATATCCACCCCACCCCTGCATGGCTGTAGTGTCCTTCAACTCACACCCACACACACACAACACCACACTCAGGCATCACCACACACAGGCAGTTCTTGCTCACTCCGCTCCCATCCAGCACCCATACCCGGAAAACAGCTGCTGGAAATTGTTTGCATGCCCAGGACCGAGGTGGACCCAGGTTGGTACCACAAAATTACGGTTCTAACCAACCACCGGAATGCACAAATTATGGACATACCCAGGCAAAATTATGGGCATACCCGGGACCTGAGACAGGCCAAATTGTTCGTATACCCTGCTACCGGATGGCTGAAATTATGCTCATAACCAGCAGCCATTGGGCCACAAAGGTCTACTGGGCATGAGCATAATTGCGTGCTCTGAATCCAGGGCCTGTCGGATTGGGTACACCTACAATTTCGCACAGGGGAAAAGCTGGGTACTATGCAAAGTTGAATGCCCTCCGGGTATAGATGCAAGTTCGTGCTGGGACTGGGTATAGCTGGTATTCCCATCTTTAAGTGGGGTACAGATGCAATTTTCCCTATTTTATAAGACCATCCCTCCCCCCCCCCCTCCTCCTCCCCCTCCCTGAACCCACATAATTTGTAGTATCTCGCAATCTGACGACTTGAGGGTGACCATTTTTTCAAAAGTTAAACCTCTAGCGTGGCGGGACTCCTCTCTGCCTTCTCTCTCCTCTTACTCCCTCTCCCCCTTCGTCAGGCAGCCACTTTTGCTAGTCATAGCAGCCCCTTCGAGCAGCCATAGCAACCACTTCAGACAGCCTTAGCAAACACTTCAGGCAGCCATAGCTGCCATTTTGAGCAGCCATAGTTGCGACAGCTGCCACTTCTGCCAGCCATAGCTACCCCTTCGTGGACCCATAGCGACCACCTCAGGCAGCCATAGCTTTCGCTTCGAGCAGCCATAGCTTCCACTTTTGAGCAGCCATAGTTGCCTCAGCTTCCTCTTCTGCCAGCCATAGCAACCACTTCAGGCAACCATAGCTGCCACCTTGAGCAGCTTCCACTTCTGCCAGCCATAGCTGTCCCTCCGGACATCCATAGCAGCCACTTCAAGCAGCCATAGAGTTCGCTTTCGCCAGCCATAGCAGCCACTTTGAGCAGTCATGGTAGCCACAGCCGCCACTTCTGCCAGCCATAGCTTTCACTTCAGGCCCCCGTAGCTTTCACTTCGGGCCCCATAGCTTTCATTTCCGGCCGCCATAGATTTCACTTTCGGCAGCCATAGCTAACCATATTTTGAATGGGTGCCTCTTCTGCTTCTGACAGCCAAAGCTGCCTCCATTCCTCGACGCTGGTGCTCTCCTACCTACCTCCTGGGTACAGACCCATAGCTCTCTCTACCTTACTGTGAACCACGCGCCAATTTAATATTTGAGGTTCAAATATCATTACAACTTCGGCCACGAGAGGCTACCCATGATAGTATTGATGATGGAGAAGACGAAGATCTGCATCTGGCGATAGCGATGGCGATGGCGATGTGAGAGCGACCTGCAGATGGGACTGCTGACTTAGTCAAGATTCAACTCGGCGGTGCTCCACGTGTCCTCTCCCAAAAAATCATCAGCCTTTTCTTTCTTTTTTTTATGTCATCAGGAAAGCTGCTGCTGGACTGCTGTGCGACTCGTTCACGGCCCAGGGAACAACCCCCGGGACTTTCCACCTGCTATTGGCGAATCTTCATCAAACCTTCATCGTACTTTCTCAAACTTTCTCGTTCGCAGTTCGACCGATCAATCTGACAATTAACTGCACTATAATCACAACGGGTGTCGATTTGTAACAAGAGAGAGAGAGAGAGAGAGAGAGAGAGAGAGAGAGAGAGAGAGAGAGAGAGAGAGAGAGAGGACAGGATCATCCCCATCGTTCTGCAACCCGTTGTTCCTTTTTATGGGAAAAGATTGGGTAGCCCGTAATGACGTTATGATATTCCAATGATTCCAGCAGAGGATTTGAGCTCGTGACCTGTCTTCAAAGATACACGTGTGTACCATTCAGCCACACGGACTAATTTTGCTCTCCTTTCTTTTCTTTTTTTCTTGTCTTTTTTTCTTTTTTTCTTTTTTTCCCTTTTTTTCTTTTTTTCTTTTTTTCTTTTTTTCTTTTTTTCTTTTTTTCTTTTTTTTAAGTCCAGATCGTAGTAGAGACTGGATGCTAGGCCTCGGGGGGGCCTGTCGTTGTACTCAACCAGTGGGGAGACCAGATGGCTTATGACAGCCCCAAGGACAGTGTCCTCCAGGGGGCATCATTCCTGAACTCTTTTTTTTTGTTATCCTAAACAGATCACAAGTAGAGCCCTACAGCCGTGCGACCCAGACCTGTCTCTAGACGTAGACCTACACCAACCCGCGCCTTCCGAGGGTCTCAGCATAAGCGGTTAACAGGGACCCCCACTTTTCAGCCCCAAGTTAACCCCCTCAACCCTGAAAAGTGAATTGGAGATCTTTCGTGTTTTTTTTTTTGCCCTGTTTTATTTTGGTCAATGTCACTGTTTTGGCCAACCCTGAAAATTCCTGATCTCTCGGTCTCAGATGAGTGCCCCCCCCGGGCTACCATAGGGACACCCCAAATTCTGGAGGACGACCCAGACACAGGAAGGGTCATGGATATGTGGCCATTCCCCACCTGTATTACATCTAGCAGACTCTATGGGTGTCTACCACCCTTCTATTATCAATCAGATGACCCACCCTCCCCTGCTTAAGATGAGACCCCTACCCAGAGACCCTTCCCCAGATTCACGCCCCAATCAATCCCCCCAATGGGAATGCAGACAGGTACCAGCCTGGATGAAGCCCAGCCCACAAAGCATGGTAATATAGACATGAGGCCCTGCCTAAGATGAGACCCCAAC